GTGAATGTAACGCAAGTGCAATAGCCTCGAAGCTACAGCATGCTTTTGAACTGAGCGATGCAGCTAAGAAGAAACTCGCTGAGATTTCTGCCAATATGGTTATTCCGCCTTGCCTAAGCAAACGCGATAAGGCTGTGTCGCCCCCAGTCTGTGCCTTTGTGCGTCGTCCGTCCGTCAGTCAGTCAGTGCGAGTCGTACGAGGCGTGGACCCCTCTGACGAACATTTCTGGACGAGATGTGCGGCGGCGACACAACAGGATACGCTGGATGTGATGAGCGACGAGATGAAAAACAACGACGACTCCTGCAACTGCTGGTTTTCGAATGCCGACACGAGAATTATGTCAAATAGGACATGTCCCGAGTCTCGGAGTCCTACTTCTTCATACGGCTCCTTCGATATGGCAGACGAATTCGAACCGAACGTCACATCAGCTGGCTAAGTGTAAACAGCGAGCAACAGCACAAAGCCGCAGATTATGCCCAGTACTCGTCAAGCCGCCACCGCTTCCTCGATGCTTTAATGAGAATAGAACGAATGCCGCGAGTTTCGAACTTTCTATGGCAAGAAAAGCCTATTAGTGCCATCCTTGTGCCAACCATAATCCTCGTACTGCGTTGACCTAATGAGGAAAGGACACTTGCTTACCGTGGGTTCAAAATGCAATACCATAAGATGCATCTTGAAACGCTGATTCTAAATCTGCACTCAACATCTGCGAAACCATCTTCTAAAGGAAGTTATAAACTTTTTTCACGGGAAACTATCACTAAAATTTGTTCAAGTTTACCGATAAACTTTTTTCACGGGAAATTATCACTAAAATTTGTTCAAGTTTACCGTTGGATAGTTCAAAGAAAATTTTAGGAGGAGAACTGTTGTATTTTTAACTATATCTTAACCATATTCAGCATTTAGAAAAAAAAATTTTATCGATGATTTTAGCGTTCCGCATTAGCGCAATTCATTCATAAAAACTAATCATAACTCCATTCAGATTGTTTCGCAGGTATGAAAATCAGTTTTAACCAGCATTCAAAAGCACATTGTGTGACTTACACATTATGAACGACCACGATCACTAAGTATCCTTTCCAACCATTCCATAATTTTTTCATCAAAAAAGTATCAACCTGTCAGTCCAAATCGACGTCTCTTTCTCGTACAAAATTAGCCATCCTAGAAAGCAAAATGTTTTCATTGTCGCAATTCCCCCCCC